TCTTCTAAATGTCTGTCTAGACCACCAGCTGTCTAGAACCAATGACAGTGTGAACCATTGCCACTTCCTGTTCAATTTAAACAGGCACGTTGTTGAATGGTAACTTTACATAACCCAACTGCAGATTGTTTAACATATTTGATAATCTTAACTGCTTGAAGTAAGACAAAGCCATTTGTTATTCTCTGTTCTCCATATAATACTTTTAGTTCTTTTGGCTATATTGTTACAAGGAAAATCCTGAACTCCATGTTTAGCTCTCACTAATCCAAGTTAGTATGCTGTATGTAAAATGCTTGAATGCTAAATTCACAACTATGAAAAAACTGTATTTCAGTGTATTACCAAAGAGCTGAATGGTCATTGTCATTATTAATTTCTAACTAGGTTATAATTAACTCCTGCAAGGCTGCTTTCCAAGTCCCCGTTAAACATTTAATTATTGTGAAATAATTTTAAAAGGCAGAAAGAATTTGAGCAAAGATCCTAACCTAAGGCCACACTGTTTTCTGGGTCATTTATACCAAGACTATTGAGCCTGTTGGGTTTTTGTGTTTGTTTCCCATTTCAAGAAGCAACCAACTGCCTGCCTTCCTCCAATTATCCTTCCATACTCCACAGAAAATAGAACAAGGGCTTTGATCGTATTTAAATCCTAGTTCTAATACCTGTTAAGAACTCTGGGAAAATCTTTGTCTTCTTGATATAAGTACCTATCTTTGAAAGGCAGGAAGGAGTAAAACTGAAATCTGAATTTCCCTAACTCCTCTTGAACCTAGGCACTTGTAGCACCAAAATTAACAAAACAAAAATATTTTCTTTTCCCTGATTAATGAAACCTAATTTCTTCATTGTCAGGAATTCTATTTTTCTAATTCTGGGTCTCAACAGAAAGAAACTCTCTTTAAATACTCGTTTTCACAAAGTTCAGGCTATACTTTGTAAAGAGGTTTGTAAAGAGTCAATTCTGATGTCTTTTAAAAGTCTTTATAAGGTGATGAACCAATTACCTGTTCTAAAACAAGGGCCAGAGATTGTACAGGGGCTAAGATGCTTGCTTCCAGGTGGCAGACCCTGTTTCAATCCTGGGTACCAGATGTGGTCCCCTGAGCACCACCAAGGGTTATCCCTGAGTAACCTTTGAGCATAGCTGAGTGTGTCCCAATACCCCATCCTTCCAAAAAACTCCTTTATGTCTGTAACAAATAATAACCACTACATAACAACGGAGTGCTCTAGTAACAGTGGTGTTCAGAGCTGCCTTTGCCAAGGGGGGGAAAAAAAGCCTTGACTTATGTATCAGATCTAACAAGAAAATAGTTTTTCTTGTGGAACAATCTTATTTTAATTTTCAATGTAATTCAAAATATACACCATGAGCTAGAGATGTGACTAAGTGGTACAGCACTTGCCTTGGCATGTGTGGCCCTGGGCTTGATTCCTGTCACTGCAAAAACAAAAGAAACCAGTAATAATAGGGACAGAAAGCATAGCAAGTAAAGTGCTTGCCTGTACACAGCTGACCTGAGTTCAATCCCTGGCAGCATATAATGGTCCCTTAAGTCCCACCAGGGGTAATTCCTGAGCAGAGCCAGGAGTAAGCCCTGAGCACAGTGAGGCATGGCCAAACAAAACAAAACCCCACAAGAAAACCAAAATATATACCAGATCACTTCATTTCTAGGTTCTGTATTGCCTTTCTACATAGTTATTACAGGAAATCGTTTAAATACAGCTTAAGTACTGCCAACTCATTTAAAATTTCTGTAATTCTGGTCTTATTTTTTCCTATTTCCTCAAGCTCAGGTACGGAGTTCTTGCTCTTTATTGGTCAAGTAAGGGTACTTTAATTGGGGTACTAGATTTTCAAACCAGGGCATAGACAGCACTGTGAAAACATAACAAAAGCCCTATCTCCAAAAATTTATGTAAAGAATACAAGTTTAAGAGGTCAGTTGTTTCTAAAATGGCAACATCACACTCTGAAAGCTGGATCAACTAAATTTGACAGCGTTGTTGGAGGGGAAAACTTGGTGAAAGAACCAAAGGAATACTTACTCCTCCTTCCTGCATACTTCTGAACAATGAATAAATTGACAATTACCATCTATTAAATACTAGCCTAGCTGCAGATCTCAGGCTTCAACTCTAGTTTTCCCAGGATATAGAGTCAACTGTTTCCTCCAAGCCTGAATTCTTTGTTTCTCTGGCCAGATATTCACTGCATCTTGCTAAAGTGAGTACAGGGCTTGAAAGGGGGAAAAAACAAAAGGAATCAGTTTTATCAAGAGAAGGGGAAAAATCATGAGCCAGCAAATAATACCTGCATTTAGGGATTCAAAAGTTGAGCTAATAACTTTTCAAACAAAAAGTCAAATGTTTCCCCTAATGAGTATACCAGGACTTCTATAGCTGTGCTCTAAAAAGACTATCTGGGCGAACAAACTATAATTTTAATAATTTCAGTCTATATTGGTTTCATGAACGTGAAGTGGTAAGAAGCCTAAGAATTTATTGCCAGTTTTTACTTCCTGGGATGCGAAAGATGATAAAAGTATTCCAAATTTGAAACTTTTAACAAGGCAATTCTCTTATCAAAAGCCCAGTATTATTCCCAGATCTGATTTAACCACTCTAGACCACAAAAGAATCACTTTTAAAATATGAGATGAGGATTGGAGAGATAAGACAGGAATTAATGGGCCCATCTCACATCTCAAACCCAGACTCCCTTTGAATGTGAATCCGTGGTGAGCACAGCACAGATATGCCTGTCCTTTCCCCCAACAAGTAAATGCTGAAAGGCAGAAAAAACAAAATTTAAAAAAATCTGAAAATTCATTTTTCATTTTTTCCTAGAGGGGGAGAGGGAGGCTACAACCACAGCTGGCTGTGTTCGGGGGCTACTCTCGGCTCTGCACAGAGGAGCAAATGTGATGTCAGGAATCAACATGGAGTTGACTCCACATAAAGCAAGTGCCCAAATAGCCATGTGCTATCTCTCCAGCCCCTACAACCTCATCTTTTATTATTTTTCACTTTGACTAGGCCAAAATGTATATTTAGAGTGTTAATACTGGTTTCTGAATTCCTTCAGATGTTTTAAGAACATTATGTATACACATATTTTTTTTTATATATATCACAGCACAAGGCATTCAATTATTTGGGTTTTGTCTGTTTAAACTACAGTATTACCTGTTATTTTGCCTGCTATGCTCTTCCTCTCCACTGCAGTTAAAATTCAGTTTAACTTGCAACTCAAAAATCCTAGATATAAAAGATGTTTACATTTACTGTTGAATTTGTAAATCATCATTTATACTGGTTGCTTCATAGTATAATATGCTTAATATAATTAAGTATATAAGGATTTTTAAAACTATAAAAATCTTAACTGGTCTTAATTTTTCCCTTTTCAATATTTTACTTAATACTCAAGTGCCAAAGCTTTAAAAATATTTTTGGTTGAATACTGAGAATGGTGTCTTTCATCTTTTATAATTACAACTATATGTAACACAATTCACAAAACAGATTCTCCTGTTACATGTTTTTTCCCTTGCAATATTAAAGGTAGCCACCCAACATTAAAACTGCACTGTAATGGTTAGACCTGTACACATACACACTTTCCATTGTGAATTTCTAAGAGCATTTAAAAAAATGAATTACAATAAAGAGATGCATTTTGGTTTGATGCGTTTTCTTCTCAATTGGACTTAAGAAACCTGCCATTTGCTAAGGAATTTTTCCCTCATTTCAAAAATCAGATTACTTTATATTTAACCTTAAGGTTCTCAGTCAGGGATGCCTCCCAGAACCACCTGTGGTGTTTTGTTAAAAACAGACACAGGTTGAACTGGGTAAGTTTGGGTAGGACCCAGACCCAAAATGCCTCATTTTATGGAACTATAGGAGTGATTTTTTAAAAATAAGCTACCCAATTCCCATTAAGAAACATACTTCAATAGAAAAATTTAAACTTTTACTAATAAGTACTTAAGATACCTTACAACTTTGCTAATTGGCTGATACATGGAGTTAAAGTCATAAGCAGTTAACTTTATGATGTTACTTTTTAAGAAAAAAATGATTGGATATGCACTATCATCATCCGTACAATGGTAGACACTTCTACAGTGTTTACTGTGTGCCAAAAACCCTACTAAACACTTCTACCATTCTTCCAACCTATTAATACATTTCAGTCTATAGCTGAATAAAACAGGCAAAGAATAGTTAAGCACACAGGTAATCAAAGGAGTAAAAATGGAAACAGCAGGCTAATTGGAGTCTTCTTGCTCTTCCAATGCGAGCTTTACTACATGCTAATTAAAAGTTACCTGTTATTATCATCAGAATTTGTTTTTATTTGAAATGTTAGGACTGGAGGTGAAGGCACAGAAACGGAATCCATTGGAAGGGACCACCACTGTTATCGTGACACTAGGACTCTTGAATATGTCACATCCTTAAGCCCATTTAAAAAAAAATTTGAAATAGTGTGGCCACCTTCATTTCTTTTTCCTCCCACAGAGCCCTACAGTTTCCCTAAGGGAAAACGTACAGAAACTAAGGCTCCATAAGGTTCAAAGAGGCGCATGAACTTGAAGTACGAGAATCTTCCCTACACAAACACCAGCACACTACTAGTACAATTTAGTCATCAAACCAAATCCCATTTTGTATGGACAAAATTATACCAACTTCTTTCCCAGACTTTATAATTCAATGGGTTTCACTGCAATCTTAAAGTAGAAACAACTACTTAGTATATTTTTAAAGATTTTTAGTAGCCTTTTTATTTAAATGTAATTAGCACCTTGTATTAAAACAAATCTTCACCTATTACTCCATTCCTGCATGCCCTTACTCAATGGCCTTAAATTACAGGAAGAACAACTTATCTACTGAATTTGAATTTGAAAAGAGGGACAAAATGATATCAACTTCTCCTATCCTTCTGAAAGTTTCAATTTACCAAAAAAAAAAAAAAATTTTAATTCACAAAATAAAATCTTTATTTTGCCCTTCTACCAAAAATTTACAAGTATCTCTATATACAACACAGTCCTTAATATATAAAACTAGTGTGTCCTCTAAGACCCAATTTAAGTTTATTGGAAAGTGTACAAAAGAATTATGGAAACCTTTATCACACACTCAATCCTCTTCCATGGAAATGATGTGTGCAAGTACAATGAGGCTTAACCACTAGATCACTGTTGGCAGCTAAATTTTGTGAACACACCCTGGAGAGTTTAGAAACATTTTATTTAGTAAAAGTTAAACATACAAAAACTAAAATTAACACGCGTCCTAAAAATCCTCATCTTCCATTAATTGGAAGATGCTTTTCTATGCATATATTTGGTTTAAACTAAACTCAGGATGTAACTGTAATGTTCACTTACACCAACAAATGCTGACAACTTGATCTAGTTAACAAAAATTACAAACTCAGCTACATGAACATAATATACAGGGAGACTATGGTCAGATTAATGCACAAGAAATACAGTCAAATTTTAATGATGAAATATTCAGTACTCTTGTTCATTAATTCAGCCTTGGCTTTTTTTTTGTTTTGTTTTTTGTTTTTTTTTTTTTTACAAAAATATTATCTACAGTGTATACAGGGCTATACATCATCTTTTTGTTTTCTCATATAAACATTACACATCCAAAAACTGGTACCACTACCATTAAGTAAAGGTCAACGCAGGAAGAAAGCAAACATACACACAAGAACCAAAACAAACCACCCCAAAAGCCTGTCCAGAACTGTTCCTAAACATGGTTTCTTACATAAAACCAAACTTAATGAAATGAATATAGAGCTGGATCCACTTGAAAGATGACTTAATAGGAAGTAAGTCATTGAAAGAGAAACTGCCATTTACAAACCAACCTAGGTAATGAATAGTTTTAACTCGAAGGATTAAAAAGATCTTTTTAGCTGGTTCCGTTTTGCTTTGATGTTTTCCATTGAATTGCTAGAATATGTGGCAAATTTTTAAAGTATCTGAAAATTCCAACTTATAACTTAAAAAAAAAAAATGTTATCATCCATTAAGTTGGGTAACTGATATCAGGAAAACCAATTCATTTAAGTGCTGTATTTATGCACCATCTATCTAGAAAGGTTGCTTAACCAACAAACTTGGAGGAAATTGTGTAGTAGTAATAAAAAAGTTAAGTGAATAGCAGTTATCAGATGGAATTTCTTCAAGTTTCATTCTATTAAGTCAGACAAAAACAACAACGGCATCATCTTCCTTACTCATCTAACAAATAATTTACCTTTAGAAAAATATAAGGATAAAAAGGTAAATGTAAAGCCCTGTGGAGATGAAATCCAACAGTTTTTCTTATTGAGGCATTAAATGCCTGACATTGTATTTAGAGGTATCTTGATACTGCGTCATAGGTTTATCAGCAATTCCACAAGTCCCTACTCCAACTTTGCCAGTCACACTCTCAGGTGAAGCAAAAATACTCCTCTTTACCTAGGGAAAATAAAAACAGAAACCATTCTTTATCAGTTTCAGAAATCATCTTAAAAAATTCTAAATACATTTAGAAAAAAAAGGACATCAAGTAAGTTGAGTGGCCTTTTAAATGAAGCCTAACAGTGATGCCTAGTACAGACATCTTAAGGGGTTGAGAGAGCGCTAAAAGGGCTCATTTGCTTGCTTCTGCACTGGAGTCCTGGGTTCAATTTCTGGGGCAGATTTCTAACACCACAAGAGGCCAGAGAGATGGTACACTGGGTAGGGAGCTGGCCTTGTACACAGAACCAGGTTCAATTCCCTTCACCCCTCCACCCCCAGCATTTCATATGGTCCCAGTGGATGATTACTGAGCAACAGACCTAAGAGTAGGCCCTGAACAGTCGGGTATGGCTCAAACACAAAGGCTAAAATTTAACAAAGCAGATGTTCAATAAAGTGCCTCTAAGTAGTAAGTAGCATGTAATTTTTCAAATTTTAAGTCTATAGAACCAGATCCTTTGAAATTCACAACAAAAGCTCATTCACAGCGTTTCTAATAAAGACAGTGGCTATGAGAGACTTAAATTTTGGAGGAAGGGTAAGATCTGGGGCCATACTTAGCAGTGCTCAGGAGCACGGGTTCCTCATTTAGGTGGAGTATCACATGCAAGGGAAGTGTCTTATCTCCTGTACTATCTCTCTAGCCCCTGGAGATAATTGCAAAACTTAAACTGATATATTTCCTTTTTCATCTTAAATGTATTTTAATCACAGGTGTCCTTTTCAAATTTATAAACTATATGAAAGGAACTACTAACCTGGCCTTTCTTGTTTTTAGAATATGCTCTGTTGTTGAATTGTTGCCATTTCACCTTCTGATCCTCTCTTTCCTGCTCAAGTTCTTTTATTCTCTGAGCTTTCTTCAGAGCTTTCTTCTTTTTATATTCACGCTGCTGGGCAATCATTTCTTTTCTGTGTGGATATAACAATGAAACACCAACTCAAAATAAATTTACAGGATTATTCCTTTAAAAATATTGAGCACTGATTTAAAAAATCCTAGTAAATGTGCTACTCTTTTTTCTCAATGAGTAAAAGCACTAAAATTGAAGTCAATTAATCACCCACAATTACCAAGAAATGTTATTTGAAACATAGAATGTCCATGGAACTTTCCAAACATAACTGTAATCTACATTTAAATGAAATATTTCAACTCTTTTTAAGATTCATTATTTGCTTTTGGGTCAGATGCAGTAGTGCTCAGGAATCACTCCTGGTGGGGCTTAGGGAGACGACACAGGATGCAGGGCATCAAACACAGATCAGCTGCATGTAAGACAAGTGTTTTTCTTGTCTATTTCTTGTCCATACTATTTCTCCAACCTGTATGTAAGGCTTATATCACTTTTGCCAGTTTTGTTTTAGGAACAGATTTAATTCAAAACTCACAGCTACTTAACTTTGATCAATTTCCAAATAGCAAATTTAATATAATGCATTTGGAAAAAAGCAGATTTGATGTATATACCATATTTCAAATATACTAGAAGAGCACTGCAGCATGAGCATAGGTAACACTTCAAACTAAATCAAAGTTAAAAAATTTCTCCAAAACTCACTCTAAATAGGATCAGAACCTAAAGCTTTCTTGATTTTTATTCAGCAAATACCAACTTTCAAAAAAGAGGGTGAAGAAATATGTATTCTTTTGTATTCGTTTTGTTTCTGTGCCACCCTTGTAGTGCTTCCACCTCAAAAACGTGTTCCAGACCTTTCAGTTATCTCCCCAGCCAAAAAAAATGTCTTTAAAAGGGGTGATAAAATCTAGACTCTGTTATATTGTATAATCCCCCACTATGAAGCTAAATGTGCCTTTTTATACAAATGTCAAAGACGAGCAAGAACGCGAGAGAGGGAGGGGGTGGGAGACAGAGGGGGGAGAGAGAGAAAGAGAGCACGCACACACGTGGGAGACAGAGAGGAAGAGAGGGGGGTATGGTGATTGTCATGATTTACTTATTGTAATACTCAAATCAAGTGTCTTATAGATAATTCCAAATACATCTATATTGCAACTTAAGCTCTGAAAACTCTTGAAAAATCAAAAAAAGCAAATTGTAGCAATATTGTTCATTCTGCCTATGAAATCTGTCAGATTATATACTTCTCCATCTTTACAACCATTCTCTGACTCCAACAGCCAGTCTATAATCTCACTGAGTCATTCCAGGTAAGCCCTGTCTCTGGGATGAGATCTCTGGGGCCTTTTCACAATGGGGATGGGCAGTCAGACTCAGACATCCTCTGGCATATAAACACCCAGCTTCACAGCTCCAGGAATGATCTCAAAGAGATGCCACGCTGCTGAATCACCCCAGTTCCACAGCTTCTGCAGCAGCTGGATGACACCTAGTTCATAATACGAGAGCCCAGTAGGAACACAGCAAATTAGATGGGAAAGCTGTGTAGAAGTCCACTAAGCTCAACGAGCAAAAGCAGCAACACAGAAGGCTCAACTACCAAAGACATCAGTACATCCTCAATGACTTCAGTAATATCACTGTGAGATAATGCTGTTAAGCAACATAAAGTAAATTATTTTGAGCCCGCTAAGGGGGTAGGCTTGGGGGATTAGGAATACTGATAGAGGGAAGGTCACACTGCTGGTGGAATTGGTGTTGGAACATTAAATACCTGAGACAACTACTATGAACAACTTTGTAAATCACTGGGTTTAAATATAAAGTTTAAAACAAAAACAGTCAATCTAAAACTCAAATCTGATTTGGTGATGCCAAGGTAACAATGCCAACACCACTATAAACATATTACCTTAAATTGAAAACACAAAACAAGGACCTCAAACTTAACCACAACTATCTTCTTTTCAGACAGTATCCACTCTTGAGTCCCAAGTTTTTAATCACAGGAATTTGTCACCTCTGTGTTTCCATCTGGTCTTTTAAAAAGGTAAACATAGACTGCATTCTGGCAATCCCTTAATCCACAAAACCCAACAGTGGAGATCCTATCAACACATTTCATAGTTGAAGAAGCAGAAGATGCTTGTTCAAGGTTATATCATACCTTCTGAAAAATATCATACCGTCTGGAAATCTATTTTTGGAATGTCAGTTTAGGTGTACTTTTATCAGATATCTGCCCTGCTGGCTAAAATATAATTTAGGAATCTTTTCTTTGTTCTCTTAAAAGACCCATTTAGTTCCTTCCTTTTACATTATTATTAAAGTTATTTTTATTTATTTTTTGGTTTTTGCGTTACACCCAGCAATGCTCAGGGATTACCCCTACTCTGCACTCAGAATCACTCCTGGTAATGTTCGGAAGATGATACGGGATGTCAAGGACTGAACCAGGGTCAGTCACATGCAAGGCAAGTGCTTTACCTACTGTACTATCATTCTGACCTACCGTTAAAAGTTCTTTAATACACTCCTTCCCTTCCCCCATCCCTTACTGGCTGTCCCCATAGCTTTATGCTGTGCTCCCACCCACTCTGGAATATCCTGGGGCCATATGGTGCCTGGTTGAGAAATGCTGCTCTAAACTATAAACTCAATCAGGTCAAGACCCATGTAGGTCTTCTTTCTTCACTTTGATGAAATCTTAGCATCCAGTCTAATAAGCAGTACCAAGTACCCTCTTAGTATTGACTGAATGCACAAATGGGAAGCAGAATGTCTTCACTTTACATAGGTGTACATATATAATACTGACTAGTGTTAATCTTCAAAATAATAAAAAGTATTTAACTTTCTTAATCTAAACCAATTTACAGATACTACATAACTCTGCAGACTACCTCAAATAACCAAATAGGAAAGATTAAACCTAAAATGCTGATGTCGGCATCACTTACTTTGACATGGGTTTGCTGCCACTGTCCTCCTTTGCCTTCCTTCCTTCCTCTACAGGCTTGAGATTCAACAATGGTGTTACTTCAGCATTGCCATAGCCAGCAAAGGTGATTGCAGCAGTGCCGTTTTCTTCATCTATCTCCTCAATCTCCGCTTCGTAACACCTGTAAAGATATCATGGCTGTAAGCAGGTGAGTAAAGGTTTGGTACTCAGCCTACAAGACTTATACTGCAGTGATTCAATTAATACAAGTGTCTAAAATGTAACCTCTATAATCAAAAGGCCTCTCTGACTAAGAGTGATTGGAGTTAGCTATCTACTAAGTCCTAAACAAAGTATCACCAGGAAGTCTGAAATGTCAACAGAATGTGTTTTAGTCAATCTCTTTGAGAAAAGACACAATAGGAATCATTTAAGTGTCTGAGCTTCACAGAAGTCTAAGCATGTAAAGCAGTGAATTTTTAAATTAAGGAATAAAGAATTTAGATTTTATCTTTGAAAACCCATTCATTAGTACTGCTTCTATCTTTCTGTAAGGATTCAAATCAAGTTTCAGTCAAAAAATCCTATTGTAAAGCTTAAAACTATATTAATAGTCACCATCCAAGAATCAAATTCAACCTACAAATCATATGGCTATGCAGAAAGGTTAAAATAGGGTAGTTTATGCTGAATAAAAACATCTTACCATTTTATTTTATTATCTCATGTTATAGTAGTTAGAGTTTTTTTCTACACTTACTGTCCATCTTCACTCCAGATTGCCATACATTTGTCTCCTACTTTCCATGAATGAGTAGGCTGGATAGAAGCAAAACTGTCTGAACTTGTAAGAGTTTCAGAAGGTTGAGTTGACAGAAGGTCTTTCGTTAGTTCTATAACTTCCTAAAAATTAATGAAGAAAAAAAACCGTTTCATTACTTTTATAATTCACACTGTCACCTTCCAGGAAATTCAGTTTAAGGTATCATAGCACTTATTCTATAGTTATTGGCAGTTGATAATAACATTATGAAGTAGACAGAAGGTAGACAATTATGTTTACATAGTAGTGGAACTGGAATTTAAACCCAGATATTTGCTTTCAAGTTAACATATAAAAAGGAACTCTTATAATAGAGAAAGCAAACTTAAACATTATTTCTAAGCGTCTATTTTAATAGGTCTCTATAAAGATGAACTATAGTCAATGTTGAAGGAATGATTTAAGTTCAAGATCACTGATATCTCTTATCACTGCCATGCGTATTTCATGCAATGTACTGTTATACAAGGAATTGCTTAGCTTAGCAGTAATACAACTGCATGGCCAACTCAAGCTCCTCCACTCCCCCCCCCCCCCCCGCGCCCCACTGAAGTAGCCTGCGCAAACATGTTTCTGTTAAAATACTACAGACACACAAAGAAAATACAGAAATCTTTCTGTTCATTTATTATAAAACCTACCCCATCAGGTTTACAAATCACCACCTGAAATATCCCATTGAGAAAAAAAATAAATGTAACACACAAAGCAGGCAATACTTTCTGTGTAGTATTTTTTTTCTAATTCAGACTTACATATTCAAAGTTATTCAGTAATGCTAGTTTAAAAAGTTATAGTACAAACTGACAGATTCTGCTACCAGTCTGCTATACATTTATGATACTGAAGATCCATCAACTCTCAAAGATCTGACTTAGCATAAGAACTTGCATACCTGTTCTCCTCCACTGCTTCATATAAATACCTTAAAACATCATTCTGTGTTTTTGGGAGAAAAATCAGCAAAGTTAAACTCTGTACTGAGTTTCTTCTGGGGATTTATAACAGCAGTTCTGGTTTAGCAGCCAAAAGTTAAATGTTACCTATCTCCTAGAGATTCTCTAAATACTAGTTATCAGAAAAATTGTATTTAAGACAAAAAAATGGGGGGAGGAGGAATAGGTCAAGTTTGTAAATGAAAATTGAGGGTCAGAGAGACAGTTCAATATACTGGAGCCTGCACTTCAGGCAGGAGGTCCAAGTTCAATCACCATTACTGCATGGTCTCCTGAGCACTCCCAAGAGGAACCTGTAAGCGTATAAGCGTATGGCTCAAAAATAAAAAATAAGCCTTCCCCCTCATCCCCCAGAAATATTTTAAGAAATCCTCAGGTTTGAGTTAAAAACTCAGTTCTTATCTTAGTTGCCAACCAGCCATTCAAATACAATTCGTTGCAAATAAAAATGAACTTCCAAGCCAATTATTAACTATACTAGAGGAGGGAAGAAAGTAAATTATCTTGCTTTAGTTTTACCACTTTTTGGGCCAGGGATGTAATATAATAAGCCTGACAAGAATGGATATAATCCCTAATACTGAGTAATTCCTTTTAGTAAGGATTATTTAACTATTAAACCTCTCTACATACTTCTCAGATTTAGAACTCTACCTCTTTGGACAGTATTATCTTCCCACTATTATATTCCAAGAAAATATTTTCTCTTTTTTACCCAAAAGGGGTCCCCAAATGCTGTGCATGTACTAAAGAATTTTCAGTCTCCCCCCACACACAAAAATCCAGACATTTTTCTTGTTTTTCTTTCATTTTGTCATTACATATCTCTCCCAAAAAACTATGAATGTGAAATTTTTTCTTCACATGTGATATGGATCAAACTATCAGAGAAACTATTTTATGTATGAGGGGGTTCTTAAAGGTACATACCATTAATTACTTTTCCTCCCCCAAGTCTGAGTTCTGAAACTGCTCCTTCACTGACAGATGGGCAGCAGTTACAGTAATCGGCAATTCCAGGAAGCATCAGATGTTGTGATCTACATATCAGCAGGTCAAAGAGGGTGCACTCAAGCACTCTGCTTACTGAAGGAAGGCGTTTCGGGGATGCAGAGAGCCACTGTAATATATGAGACAAGTGACTTGACCCCTGCCTCCTTTAGAAACAGTTTATTCAGCAAAACAGCCTAAAAACTTGACTATTTTGTGATTATCTTCAGACTGCCCAGGGAGCTCATTATCTAGTCTACCTGAATTTTTACTATATCCACTTTGTTAAATGAAAAAAGAAAGGCACTTAGGACTTCAGAAAATTCATTTGCTTCCTTCTGCGTAACTTATTCTATATGAAAGCATAAGGAAATAAACATGGACACCTTACTAGCAAAACAGAAGTCACTGAAATAATGCAGAAAGCATTTTGTCATAAATAAAAAGGCAACCAAATTATAACCAGGGTAGGGGAGATTCCATAAGAGGAACACACAAAACTAAAAATCATATGGTGATCCAAACACGAAACAAGTCGTCACAAACTCATCCATCAGTCTGAACAAATTTTCTTTCACCAAATATACAAGATCAAATTAAATATTCAAGGGCACAAAGTATATCCCTCTCCACCAGAAGAGGGAAAACTGAAACCTACAGGAAAACAGACGCTCTAACTATAGTCAATGAAGTTAACAATTACTAAGTGAAAGCAGATACCCACTTTTCAGAATTTTATCTAAACAGAAATATCTTGAGTTTTCAAATGTAAAGTACAAAACAAATGCAAATTTAAAAAAATTAATAGCATGATAAACTATGATCAAGAATGATCCTCCATCTAAAGTATTAGGTATAACTATCTGAAATGTTACAACTTAAGCTTCCAAATCTGTACAACATGAGCCATATGTGGTTAATTAAATAAATTTCAGTTCTTTAGCCTAGCCTTATTTCAAGTATCCAACAGCACACGCGGGCAATGGCTCCTGCATAGCAGATATAACATTATCATCACCACAGAGATCTTTTTAGACACTGCATTTCTGAATTATTACAGGAGCACTGTAGCACTGTTCTCCCGTTGTTCATCGATTTGCTCTAGCGGGCCCAGTAACGTCTCCATTGTGAGACTTGTTACAGTGGTCACGGGTAGCTTGCTAGGCTTTGCCGTGCGGGTGAGATACTCTCAATAGCTTGCGGGCTCTCCGAGAGGGACAGAGGAATCGAACCTGGGTCAGCTGGGTCTGCCGCTTGCAAGGCAAACACCCTACCGATGTGCTATCGGAGATACATTTATAAATATGATCCTCAGAGGTCATCACTAACTGAACCTTAAGTCCTTTCCATGGTTACATGTCTATCACAATCATCTGTCATGTTAAAACAGTTCCACCCAAATGACAATGGGGGTGAGGGGCAAATTTTTTTACTTGCTTTTGGGCCATACCCAACTCAAGGGCTTTCTCTGGCTCTGTGGGTTTCAGGGAACCACAGAGTGCCAGGGATATCCGGGTGAAGTGCATGCAAGGCAAGCACCTTACCTTCTGTACCATCTTTCTGGACGCTCGGGAACTATTTTTTTTAAATATTAGGCTTTATCAATCTTCATTCCCAATTTTCCCTTCACCAGTTTTACAAATACACCTCTCCCACTGTGCAGGAATAATACACATAACAAGACATGTTTTTTCCAAAAGGAAAAAAAGAGAACTACTCTTAAAGTTGGTAAAAGAGATGGGAGTATGTCAGAATCTCTTATTGAGGGAAGCATAAAAGTTGGCCTGGGAGTAGAAGAAACACACCACTCAAACATGTTTGTTTGTTTTTTTTTTTTAATTAACTGGCACCTTAAACCCACAGCCTGGACTCTCACATATTAAAGGAAGGTTCTCTGTTTAAAAGAAAAAAAAAAAACATATTGCAACTTCAAGAAGTTTTATCCCAAATTTAAACCTAAAATAGTTTGGAGAATCAGAACCTGAACCTCAGAAACACTCAATTATAACCAGATCAGTACTTTCAGAAATTCCATTTCAAGAAAATTTCCTCTGCTTAAAGTTCTAAAATACCTTAACGGTCTAAAAATATTACTTTAAAGGGAAGGACTTTCTTGAGCTCACCTAATCAAAGAAAGTACCTTTTAAAATTCTAAAGCTGTGGGTTCAAAAATTTAAGATATCAAATTTGTCAGGAATAGTCATATAGTTACAAATATTACGTAGAATCCCTTATTAATTAACCTGGTGTTATGAGAAACAGATTACTTACTAGTTTTATCTGAAAATTCACTACAGCAGATTTATGTACTTATATCAGCAAGAAAAAAACTGACCTCCAAGACAAAACAAATTAAGATCTTTCAACCAGATCAATTTTAACTTCAAGGGTTAAGCACTGCAAGGGAAATATCTAGCCCTAAAGTTCAAACATTATGTAACCTTTACACAAAAAGTTAGAATCAACTTTTAAAATGTGCTTAATACAAGATGTTATTGGCTAGCTTCATAAAATATAAGCATATTTAATTTTTAAAGAATCTATGCCACTAAAAACGTTATCAGTTTATGTTTTTCTCCTTTATTTTCAGGTACCTTTTGAACTTAAATTTCCTTCCCAGGTCAGTAAAGACTAAATAAAAATTTTTTTCCCATTGTAAAGCTATACAGACCTCTTCTAGAGAAAGGAGACTTACTTTTTAAGCATTTACATTATAAAGAACAATGTGTCACTGCAAAGTGAGAATGCCTATTTGCAGAAACCAAACAAAAGGAGGCTTGAGGAAACACCCCTTCACAATGATGCTTTTTAGATACCTACAAATAAGAAGCAGTAAATTCAAATGAAAAACACAAAAATACTCTTCTGGAGTTAGTTCACACCAAGTGTCCCTTCATACTTACTTGTAAATCTTTCTTTAGTTTGAGTAAATCTTCATTCTCTCCATTTCCAGACAATGCAGCTTCTACTTGCTGGAGTTGAGCTTTGTAGCTGGCTAGCTGTTTTGCTAGATCCTCTGACATCTAAGGAAAATCAAAAAAACACCAGAGTAGGAAACAGGAAAGGCGGAGAAGAGGGTACAGGAGTTAAGGCCTTGCACGCTTGAGACAAGAGGTTCAAAACCCGACAGGGCATCTAGTCCCCTAGGGACAGCAGAGACCTGGGAACAAGCCCTGAGCACTGCTGGGGTGGGGCCTAAACTCAGCCATTTGAAGTCGAACCTACCTCTCCCCCTCCCCACCGCAAAAAAAAAAAAAAATCAGAAATAATTTTCCCCACTTGCATGAAACAACCCTTGCCAGTTTCGCATCTTAACGTAGTCCCGCCATTCTCTTGGAAGAGAAAAAAAACCACAGTACAACTCCAAGGCTACGATTTCTGCGAATCAACGAACATGTCCTATAAAAATCCCACCGGGGGAAACACGGACGGACGGACGGACGGACGGCCAGCAGGCAGGAGCCAGAGAGGCGGGAAGACGCCCGGCTGCTCCCTTTCCTCCTCCCCAACAGGGAAGGGGCACTTGTGACCTGTCTGTTGGGAGGCACAGGCTGGTGACTTCTTCCCCAAAGGCAAACAAGCAAGCAGCCAGTCTACGGCAAGAGGGGATGCCTGCGGGGGGGCGGGGGGGGCAACCCTCTCTGGGGGAAACAACAACAACAACAACAAAAACAACCAAAAACACGTTTCCCCAACGAAGCCGGCGCCTAAGTCGCCCCGAGCCCGGGCCCCTCCCCGGCGTGGGGGACCAGCCCACGGCCCCGGCCACGCTCCCGCGGACACCAGGCTGTCGCCGGGGCTGCTCCGGGCAGGGGACGCGGCCGCCCAAGCCCTCCGCGCCCTTTATCTGCCGCTGCCCGGGCGGTCCGGGGCGCCCCAGAGGCGCTCGGTGGGGGGTGGGGCGAGCCCGGCCCGCCACCCGCGACCCGGGCCCGCAGACCCCCCAGTCCGACACGTCCGCCTCCAGGGAGACCGTCCGCGTCCCACCGCCCGGGAGGCCCCGGGCCCCCCTCCTCCCCGCGCCCCCCGCGGCGCCTCTCCGCCGGGCGGCCAAGGGCGTCCTTCAGGCCGCACCCCGCGCCCGGCCCCACCCGCCGGGGCCCCCCGACTGGGCCCGGCCCGCCGCCTCGGTCCCCCCGCGGGAGGCCGCTCGGGGCCCCACCCGAGCGGAGCCCTCTGGGCCCCCGCCCCGGCCTCCCCAGCGCGGCCTCCCTCAGGCCTCCGCCGCGACGCGGGAGGCCCGGCGCGGCCTTCCTCTTCCCTCCCCCCCGGGACTGGTACCTTGTGCGGGGCTGGGGCGGCGGGAAGGGGGGGGGTCGGGGCCACTGAGCCCAGCGGGTGGCGGTGACGACGGCGACAGCGGCACCCGACAGCTCCGAGGCGAAAACCAGGCGAGCCGGTCGGAAAAGGAAGGACTCGGTCAGCGGCGAGGGGGAGGGGAGGAAAACGGGGCACTGGCAAGAGGAAAAGACGAAGGCGGGTGAAGTGTCGCGAGAGCTGGGAAGCCTCGCGAGACGACGTCACGTGGTCCCTTGAGCGCCCTCGGGTTCACCCGCCCGGACTCGGGTTAGGGACGTGGAGTGGGCGGGGCGGAGGGAATTGGCGGAGCTGCTGCTGCTGCGGGAGCGGCTCGGTTGGGGCCGCGGCGTGGCTCCTTCTGCTCTGGGGGGCGAGGGGCGCGCGGGGGGGGGGGAACCTTCGCAGCGGGGAGCCTTTACGTGAGAAGTTGGTAGCCTGACTTGAACGCCGCCTTTTCAGAAAATCTTTTTAAAAAAAGGTTTTCTGGTTTTTTTTTTGCTTTTTGGGTCACACCCAGCAATGCTCAGGGGTTACTCCTGGCTCTGCACTCAGGAATTACCCCTGGCGGTGCTTGGGGGACCATATGGGATGCTGGGAATCGAACCCGGGTCGGACGCGTGCAAGGCAAACGCCCTACCCGCTGTGCTATTGCTCCAGCACCCCAAAAAAAGGTTTTCTGGAAACTTACTTGATTGTTTGTTTGTGGACCACAGCCCGGTTTTACTCTTAGCTCAGTGCTCAGGGATCACTTCCGTGAAGGCTCCGTGGCGGTATGCAGTGCCAGCTATCAAACTTGAGTTGGCGGTGCCATTTTAAAGGCCCCAGATGGACCTTTTTTTTTTTTTTTTTAGCTGAAAAGAAAGCCCACAAAACACACCGCCCGGTCTACCACAGGACATTGTCACGCACCTGAGCCGTTCGTGCACACCGCCTTCCCCAGCCCGGAGCAGTCGGGGCGGGAAACGTTCTAGGAAACGCTGCAGAGGCTGTGCTTTTGGAGGCTCTTCCTGGGAAGAGGGGAGAGGACGCTGGTGTGCGCTTCTCCTAAGGCCAACGGTGCTGGGAGAGGGGGAAAAAACGGGTTTTTAGTAGGGCTTTCATACCAGGTGTGTCCTGGGGGACCAGGATTGGTGTTGCCTGGGACTTGATTACAAAGTGCAGATTCTCAATCCGCTTTCCAGTCCCCCGAAATTAAAACACAGGGAAAAACCATTCATCTTCCTCCTCTGTCCCTGCCCCCTTCTCTTCTGTTGTGATGACCCGACTCCGCGGGTTTTAACAGTGTTTCCAGATGCTGTCCATGTCTGCTCTATTTTAAGAACCCACTGCTCTGTGTAATAAGGAAAGCTTAAAAAAAAATTGAAAAGTAAGCAACAAAAATTAAATCGTGGCAAAGCTTATTAGAAAGTCCACTGATTTACTTAAAACCTATTTGATTAGATTTTGTTGGTTTTAAGGTGAATTGATTATATGGTTAATCCCACCAACCAGGGAGATTCCAAATTACGATTTTGTTGTCGGTGGTGGTAAACACTAAATACTCAGCCCTGCCGAGCAGCCGTGACCTGAGGTTGAGCCTGCAATGCTGGGGACCACCAAAACTATTGCCTGTGGTGCTCTGTGTGGTGCATGGGGATTTGATTTATTTATGCGCTCTTCTCCTTGTGAGCTAGTTCCCTGACCTCCAAATTAGTCTTGGGCGACAGAGTGATGTCACTAGTCTAAGTTGAAGAAGAAATATGCATTGTTTGTCAGAACACAAATTTTGAATAGATAGAGGCCAGAGATATACAGTTGTCAAAACGCCTGCATATGGGACCTCTGGCACCGGATATAATTTCCTGAGCCCTCCTCAGCCCTCCCAGGGGTGATCTGTGAGGCTGCTGGAGTAAGCCTTGAGACTACTGGCTCCCAGAGCAAAACTCTGAGCAGATAAATATGTATGTTTGCAGAGAAAATACAAATGTTTACACAGATTACTATTTCTGTTTACTGCCCTCCCATAAGTATATAATTTTAAGAAAAACCTAATTTATAAAGATAAAGACCAGTGATTGCAGCCAAGAATCTGCTCTCAGAGACGGCAATCTTTCTGGATACCTTAAGAAGTCACTCTTCTGGGCTGGAACGGTAGCACAGTGGGTAGGGCATTTGCCTTGCATGCGGCCGACCCTGGTTCGATTCCCAGCATCCCATATGATCCTCATTATGGCACCACCAGGAGTAATGCCTGAGTGCAGAGCCAGGAGTACCCCTGTGCCTCGCTGAGTGTGACACCAATAAAGAAAAGAAGTTACTCTTCTCAGATGGGCTGATTCTTCTGGTTTAACATCTGGTTTTAGTGACTTCTTGTATTTTAGGGTTTAAGAAAATTTTTAAATAAACTTCCAGGACCAGATAAATAGTACAGGGGGCAAAGCACACACCTTGCATGTTGTCCACTAAGGAACTACATATAATCTCCTGAGCACCACCAGGAATGATCCCTGAGCACAGAGTTGGGAGTAAATGCTGAACACTCCAGAGTATGGTCCCAAACCCTCATCCCAACAACCTTTCCTTTTCTCTGCACTTACACACATATTCATATTGAATCATACCCTGTAGAGAAGAAACTAGAACCCACTTGTATTATTGGGGTGACTCAACTTGCTATAATTCAAAATGCTGCGGAGGGCAGCATTGTGAAGCTAGAATTAAGAGGGAAGACAAACAGGATGTGATTTCCTTACTAGAGGAGACACTGTTTACGATAAAATGACTTGTTCAACAGAAACTTGTTATCTTATTGGTATATTTTAAGGACTAACACGGCCGACCCGAGTTCGATTCCTCCGCCCCTCTCGGAGAGCCCAGCAAGCTACTGAGAGTATCTCGTCCGCACGGCAGAGCCTGGCAAGCTCCCCGTGACGTATTCGATATGCCAAACACAGTAACAACAAAGTCTCCAATGGAGACCTTACTGGGCCCGCTCGAGCAAATCGATGATCAACAGGAGGGCCTTTACTTTACTTTACTTAATATCAAGACTTGACTTTACTTAATATCAAGAAGAGCTTTTAAATACAAGTTCTAGAGTTGTGTAAAAATCTCTCAGTTCTTTACTAAGCTCTAAACAATTTTAAATTCCCATATAGATTTTAGGGCTGGAGTGATAGCACAGCGGGTAAGGCGTTTGCCTTGCAAGCGGCCAATATGGCCGACCCGAGTTCGATTCCTCCGCCCCTCTCGGAGAGCCCGGCAAGCGACCGAGAGTATCTCGCCCACACGGCAGAGCCTGGCAAGCTCCCCGTGATGTATTCGATATGCCGAACACAGGAACAACAAAGTCTCATGATGGAGACGTTGCTGGGCCCGCTCGAGCAAATCGATGATAAACGGGATGACTGTGACTGTGACTGTGACCATATAGATTTCAGAATCATCTCGAGGGCTTTTTTAAAAAATAATTTAAAACCAGGATTGCATTTAATATCTCCCTCTTGCTACTTTTTGGAAAGAAAAAAATTTAAATTTAGTTCTCACAAAGAAATGATAACAGTTGTGCTTAGTAGGTGCCATTCTAACCACTTTACATATTATCAATTTTCACATCATGTCTATATCCCTTTAAAAACAATACTGGAGCAAATTTAAGCTTTGACTAAACACCTCTCCCACCCTTCAGATAGGTGTCCTGACGTACCACCTCCTATGGAATATCAAAATCTACTTTTCAGTGTGATTTTTCTTAAAACATTCTCCAATGTAATTATGCTTATTCTTCGAAAAGAGCAGCATCTCAAACCTCTAGTTCTCTAAGCCTGGTATTTTAATGATACACCCCAAATAAAATGGAAAGATTCCACATTGTCGTCAGAACACGTCACTATTTCCTTTCACTGCTAAAGAAAATCAAAGAATGGCTAAAGAAATTAAAGTATAGCAGCTGCCTTTGGAAGTGTGCCAACCAACTGCGGCCCATGAAGGACACACTAAGCTGCATCCTCATAAGGCAGAGGTTAAATAGAAGGTTTCCTTCTTTAGCTTCAGTTTGATCGTATCTTTTCTTGATCCAAAGTAGTGTTTAATCCAACTTCTTTTTTTTTTTTTTTTGGAAAAGGGTCTTCCTAAGCAATGCTCAGAAGGTTTATCCCGCCCCCCTTCCCCCCCAGTAATTGGGCTGGTGGTTCCATGCAAGGGCTGAAAGATGCGAAGCTCTTTAAGCCCTGCAGTGCCAGGGATTATCCAGGCCCCCGGCAGTACTGGGGACCTGCAAGGCTGCACCCACCCTGTTTGCTGGGCAAACAAATGGTATCAGGAACTGAATGTGTTGGGCTATACCCACTTGTGCCCAAGGATCACTCCTGGGGAGTGCTCTGGGGACCATATTTGTTGCTGGGATCGAACTGGGGTCAGTCATGTGTGAGGTAAGCTCCTTAACACCTGTACTCTCTCTTTGGCACACATTAATAGGATTCTTAAGTTTTAAGGACAAAGGTAAAGGTAAAGGCCCTCCCGTTGATCGTCGATTTGCTCGAGCGGGCCCAGTAACGTCTCCATTGGAGACTTTGTTGTTACTGTGTCTGGCATATCGAATACTCTCGGTAGCTTGCCGGGCTCTCCGAGAGGGGCGGAGGAATCGAACTCGGGTCGGCCATGTTGGCCACTTGTAAGGCGAACGCCCTACCCGCTGTGCTATGTTACAAATCAATTAAAAATCATCTATTATAGATAATGTGGATATATCATACAAACAAAACAAACAAACATTGTCCTCCCGTTGTTCATCGATTTGCTCGAGCAGGACCAGTAATGTCTCCATTTTGTTGTTACCGTGCTTGGCATATTGAATGCATCATGGGTAGCTTGTCAGGCTTTGCCATGCAGGCGAGATACTCTCAGTAGCTTGCTGGGCTCTCGGAGAGGGGCAGACGAATCGAACCCGGCTCTGCTGGGCCAGCTGCGCACAAGGCAAACGCCCTACTACTGTGCTATCGCTCAGTTTAAACTCAAGAAAAGAAATAAAAATACAACATGGGAAAAGAGATAGTGATGTTAAATTTTAATTTCAATTATTCATGTATAAATTTTTAGAAATAATGTTATTCCAGTGGAAGGTGCTCATATTTTGATCTCTTCCATTACCCACTGAAAGGAAAGCACATCTTGGAGAAATGGTTGATTTGGGATCT